ATTTTTATATCTAATTATAAAATTTTAAATTTAAAAAATGGTTAAAATCAAGTAGATCTATAAACGTATGAAAATCTTGAAAACGGATAGTGTAGATAATATGTTGTAAAATGCACTATTTTTTAGACTTAAAATCTTTTCATTTATCATGGTCATACATCACAAATGTCGAGATGATCAATCAAAGGGTTTTTCAACATTAAAACTACCTTTTCCGATGGATTTTTTAGGTGCATCCGAAGTTATACATTATAAAGTTGCATCCTTATATAAAATTTTTCTTTAAAAGAATTATTCGAGTACTTTTATGCTCCTTATTCTAAGAGCATTAAAAAAGCAACTTTAAAATTAGTAGAAAAATAATATTTCGACTATTTTATTTATCTTTAATTGTGGTAATAAATTTATATATTCTTAATTTTTCATTTTTCATTTTTATATTATTTATAAAATTTAAAAAATATATTTTTATTTTATTATAAACTAAATAAATACGATCCGAAGTCTTCCCCTAAACTAACTGAAGCACCGAATTGCTTTATTTTTTAGACCAAACCGAAGTAGGCTCAGAAGCGAATATGACAACATTAGTTAAAACATAGCCTAGGTTTTATAAAAAATAAAAATAAAGCCCCATTTGCAAATTCATTGAAAATTGCAGTTCTAATATAAAAAAACCTTCAAATCAAACATATATATCTAACCATTATAGTTATAATTTTAAGCCCTAAAAATAATGTATATTGTATCACATTATCGGACCATCCATTTTCAAATGTTCACGGGACAGCATGATGCATACCATTTTTTGAGCTACAAATTTTATAATCGGTGATAAGAAATATATCTTAGAACTACCATATAGATTTTCCATGACCAACCGTTTTTCAGATAAATTTTGAAGTAAAACTTTACTTCTTTTTTTTTAACCATAAAATCCAGGCCTTAGAAACTTCATCCTTTCTAAAAAGGAGATTAGATATTTTTTGGATGCAACAAGTGATTTAGAAACTTTCCCAAATCATCTCATAAAGATGTGAACAAAGATGGATGGTGCACGCATGCGTGGGGCACATAGGTTAACTCTCTCCATGGTAGTGGGAAATGACGAGTGACTTTTTCGTCTTTTTCTTGACAAAAATCACATCTTACACTTTCTTATTGTATTGATGGAGTGATTTTTTTCCTCAATGTGAAAAGGTGAGGTTTATATAAGGTGTCAGCCTTAAACTATTGAAGTAAGGTGCGC